CGCTGCTGTGAGAGTCTTCCCGTTTGATTACAGGAAGGCCTTCGATCTCAGTGACCACGCCCTACTTGTGTGCAAAGTTTTCGGCCTATCTTTTCCTCGCGCTGTTACCCTCTGGGTGGCCGACTTCTTAACGCATAGACAACAACGTGTAAAGTTGTCTATAGAGACTGTTTTTATGAATGGGGCCCTGTGCCCGCTGGTGTGCCTCAGGGAACCAAACTAGGCCCATCGTCATTCCTCAGCGGTTTTCAGTGTGGACACATAGAAGCACATTTTGTACGTTGATGATACTTACCAGAGAGATTAAGCATCGCGTTTACGGCAAACGGCAAACGTAAGCAAGTTTCCCCTTCACTAGTCGTTTTCTTTTCATTATAAATACACGAAAATCGGTAGATTCAGGTTAATTTTATCCAGAAGAATTGTTTTAAGCTGCTTTTATCTGCTCATTTTAAAAATTTCTCAACTTGAAACTCAAGTTCGCCGTTTGCGGTAAACGCGATGCTTAATCTCTCAACTATTGATGAGTTTGTCCCGCGAGGTGCACAGGGTGACATTCAAAGCGCAGTTAGTGTCGTCGAGGAATGGTCACGTGAGCAATGCATGCAACTAAACGCTGACAAATGCAAGGAGATGATCATCGACTTTAAAAATAACAAACATGTCTTCAGCCCTGTTGTGGTCGACGAGAAGGAACTAGCGGTTATAATAGTGCCAAACTTTTAGGTATAACACTGTCGTGTGGACTATTGTAACAGCCTGCTCTTTTTGATATATATCAATGACATGCCCAATTGTTTAGAAAAGGCAAATATTAGAACATTTGTTGATGACACCACTCTCTTCTACTCTTCCAATTCTCTACAGGACCTTGAAAAAACTATAAATGAGGAATTCAACCATCTGCTTAGCTACTGCTTTCTATAAACTTTAAGAAAACCCACTATATGACAATCTCCTCCCCCCAAGAAGCAAATAAACTTAAGCTTAACTTACACAATATTGAAGAAAAGAACTACATCAAATACCTAGGTATCTGCATTGACAAAAATCTAAACTGGGCTCCCCACATTCAGCACATTAACAGCAAAATATCTAAAAACTTGGGAATCCTTTTCAGATTACGCCATTTCTTAACTTTAAACACCCTCAAACAAATATATTACTTACTTATCTAGCCCTACCTTCATTATGGAATTATGAGATGGGGAAACACATACCCAAGTAGATTAACTAAGTTCAAACAAAACGAAATAAATGTATACGCTGCTTATTTTTTAGCCATAAGAGAGAAAGTAGTGCACCCTACCTCAAACTTCTAGATATACTTAACATAGATAGCATTTTTAAACTCAAAATCTCCTTGCTAGCTCACAAAATCTCACAAAATGAAGCCAATATCCCTGAAGTGTTTCAAAACTACCTCGTAAAGGTGTCTGATATTCACTCACACAATACCAGATATGCCTCAAATCTTAACTTTCATGTACCACGTGTAAGGTCAAATTACGGCAAACACACATTTAAGTTTGCCATAACCAAAACTTGGGAAGAGATTCCTACTAAGATAAAAACACTTAGCTACCATAAGTTCAAAAAAGAATATAAGCGAATTCTAGTTAACTCTCAACGGTAACAATTGTAATTTGAATGTCTCACATAACCTGACTGCTGGCATAATCGTCCATAGTTGCCATGGCACCAAGCGCACGTTTATTATGTATTTCCAATCATAATATAGCGGTGGTTAGCTCGAAAGCTAAGCTCCTCTGACCACCGTACACTTCTACCCAAGCCATTAATTTTCTTTTTTTTCTTCTCCTTCTCCTTTATTAGTGTATTCCTACCTTACTATATATAATCTAAATATTTTATAAAGTGTGAATAATAAAATTGAATTAAATTGAATTGAATTGTGGCCTGCCAGCCTACCAGCTTAATAAGCTACAGAGGGGCCAAAATGCTGCCGCTAGGTTAATTTTCCAGAATTTTCCAGGAATCTGAATACTGCCACGTAAGACCGATGCTGTATAATCCGCACTGGTTGCCGGTTAAGTTCAAATTTGACCTTAAGATACTACTGTTAACGGAAAAGGCTATCACTGGCTTAGCACCTTTTTATCTCCAGGAACGTAATAATCTTAAAGAAGCATACAATTTACTCTCCGATTGTGATGGACTGCTACTAAACCCTGTGAAATCAAGACTTTAACAACGTTAGGAGATCGATCTTTTGCTGCTGCTGCTCCCCAAATATGTAATTCATGGCCCTATGCGATTAGGAGTAGCCCCTCAGTAGCATCTTTTCAAAAGACACTCAAGACATTTTTATTTCAGAAAGCTTTTTGTAATTTTATGTGCTTTTTAATCTCTTTTTAGTAGGTTTTATGCAGTTTTTACCATTTAAGTAGACTAAGTAATTTTTATAGTTTTAGTGTTGACATAATTGTTTTAACTCTTTTTGGTAGGTTCATTCACTTTGTATATTTTATGCAGTCCTAGTAATTTTTTTTTTAATATTTTTATTTTAAAGCGCTGATGAAAATAGCAATATATATCGGCGCTGTATAAGTTTTACTATTATTATTATTATTATTATTATTATTATTATTATTATTATTATTTCCATTCCTTGTAGACTCAGGCAGGATGTTCGGCCTGGTTTATAGTCCTTGGAAGCAGGTTACAACAATTCACCACGGGTCCCAGGTCTCTCTTTTCCTTCTTCTTACAGGGACAGTACTTTCCTTAGTATCTTTGCTTTCCCCAACAATGCTGTTTTCTGGATAACTTCCAACCTCACGTTCACGCCGATTCTCTTCATGTACTTCTTAAAGTTGAAGTGAATCGGCGTGAACGTTATCCAGCAAACAGCATTGTTGGGGACAGCAAATATACTAAGGAAAGTACTGTCCCTATTATTATCATTATCATTATCATTATCATTATCATTATCATTATCATTATCATTATCATTATCATTATCATTATCATTATCATTATCATTATCATTATCATTATTATCTCAAGTGGAAAGTTTATATAATATACAACTATCCCCTGAAGGGGAGGTGATCAGAATAGTCAGGTGGGATATACCTAGACGCGAAGTGTCGAGGTATATATCTAGCGCTATGAACCGACCCTGAGTGGGATAGATGTTTTAGTATTTACCAAATCAGTTGGATAAAAATCACTTAGTTCGAGTTTGTTGACGTTTCAATTTACAATGTTTCGGGGATCATTTGTTATGATCTTGTTCCAAATTCAGTAAGAAAATTCTTTTCTAGCGACCAGTAAACATCGAAAAGCCAAATTTTTTCTCGTTCTTGGTATTTGTTGGTGCAGCTGCTTCATTTACCGCTAAAATTTCATCTTTCGAGACTGTCGCGAAACGAGAAGCAGAATGCCGTCATGAACAAATGAAACAGTGAATATCCAAGGATATTACTAGTTACGGGAGCCAATCAGAACGCGCGAAAATTACTATCCACTCATTTGGTGAATTATGAAACTATTAAGAAAGCAAATAAGCGTTTGTATTTTTTTTTTGTTCAGCTTGAGCTGTAAAGATATTGTTGACGTCCACTGTACAGTAAAGAGACCCGTTCTACAATATTGCTCGCCCATTTTCCACCATAACCTACCCTACTGTCTAACTGAGCGTGTACAAAAAGAGCGCTCTCCATAATAGCGCCTGATAAATCATACAAACACTGTTTAGTCAGTTTTGGTCTCAGCACTTTATATGATAGGCGTAACGATCACTGTATTAAGCTGTTTAATAGTATATCATCGGATCAGCACAAATTCGCTTGCCTGCTTTCTCCGAACCACCAAAGCCACTACAATACCAGTTATGAGAGTGTTTACGACTTGCCCCACTTTCGCACAAATCACAGCAAAAATTCGTTCAAACCAGCCATGTGCGGCAGTCCAAACATGTTATTATAATGTAAGATTAAGTGTTATTACGTTATTTTTCCTTTCTTTTTCAGTTCTTCATTATCATTATTCCTAATTAACAAAATCGAAATTAGTCTTTTACCATTATTTTATACTTTTTATTGTATTGTAAATAATTAAACAATTCAGCCTTCAGCCGGCTGCAATTTGATTATTTTCTTATCTATGATCTATCTTTACTGGGAGAAGTAACGCTTCAGTGGATTGATCAGATGTACTAAACTTCGATCAAGCTGGATTAAGTCACCGCAAGATTGAGGATAACATCCTCTTCGCTCTACATAATTCTTCACATGCAGCCTACTCAGCCTCATTTAGTAATCGCTAAATAATTATGACAACGATCACTTTGTAGATCAAAGGCTTGACTTCAAACTCTTATTTGTACATTTGGAAATGTCTCTTTTGAATTCTACTCAGGGACTCAAACGCGTGAACTCGAGACAAAATAATGCTGAATTAATAGCCTTAACATTAAGACGATACAGGTCTGTACTGAAATATAATCACCTGTGCAGTTAACTCCGTTCCCATAATACCCTGGCTTGCAAGTGCACTCGTAAGATCCTTCACTGTTATTGCAGGCTGCATTGGCATCACAGTTGTGCTCGCCTGTTATACACTCGTTTACGTCTGCAAATCAGATGCAGGACTAAATCATCAAAATTGCTTTACTTAACCTTTTATTTTCTAGGATTGGCTACGATCAGAAGAGAGGGAGAGAAGGATTTCTGGCTATACTGGAAAGCAAAAACATTTCTGCTATATATTGAGCAGGTGAGAAATTCGGAAATGACATCACGTGTATAGATAGAGGATTAGCGAAACCTAAGGAAGCAAGATATTAGAGAATGCAATATTGTAGGGGAACAATATAATAACACATTAAAAAAACTTAAATATTTCAAGCATGTATAGGGGTAAAATTGCATACAGATACTGTAAATCACAAACTTTTATAATGCAAGGGCATTTCCATACTTATTCATCTTAAACTGAAGAACAAACTGTAGCTCTAGGGACTAAGCTGTATACTACCTTGTGGCTGACCTTGGCTCTAATGCGAGATAAATGGAGTTGATTAGAAAAATATTCATTATAAAGAAGATCGAGGTATTGTTTTCACCTGTGCATTTAACTCCATTCCCAGAATACCCTGGCTTGCAGGTGCACACAAAGGATCCTTTAGTGTTTTTGCAATTAGCGTTTGCATGACAGTTGTGCTTTCCTGTTTCACACTCATTTTCATCTGCAATTCAAAAGTCAGGCACTGAATCAAAAAACTGATTTAGTTTTCTTTTCTTTTTATTTCAAGTAACTTTGGCCTATCATAATAACAGTTATCTGCCTTATTATAGAAATTAACGCTTTATGAAATTACGTTGTTGGAAATTGACGCGACTTAAAAGGTTCGTGTAGATCATTTTCGCCAAGATAGCTATTCAATTGCACAAACACTGTTTTCTCTATCAATTTAGATAGGAACTTTCAATTTGATACAGGGCGAAAATTACTAAGCTGCTCAAAGTCTGCATTTAATTTCTTAAGAATAGGTGATAGCAGCGCTACCTTAAGTTCCTTGGGCAGCAATCCAGATGACAATGACAAATTAATCACCCTTCTAACTATAGGGACAAGACTAGAATAGCATTTCCGCATGATACTCGCTGGAAGTGGATCCAGTGCACATGCCATATTAAACTTTGTTGACTGCCCTCATTGGTTGAGGGTGTCAATACTGCGTTTGATATGCTCAGTATTATGATCTGAAAACGAAGATACTTAAGTAAAAATGATCGATGAACGTGTAAAATTGTGCTCCTGCAACTAATTACTCAAATTTCAAGCATGTTCACCAGCTCACTTCTAACATTCCCCACCACAGTATTTTTCCAGTTTCATTGCGTGATACAGTGGAACCCCGCCTTAACGACACCCGCTTCAAATACGGACACTTCGTTATTACGGACAGTCTTCCTTGTCCCTGAGGAAAGGATGACCTGACATTTTCTCTAAATTCAACCCGACAGACACCCCGTTAATACGGACAAGCACGAGTGGAATAATTGTTTTATTATAAACGCCCACATAATCTCGATGAATCTCCCCGACTTTCTTTTGTTAGAATAACCGGAAAAGACAAGGGACTTCCACTTTACACATGTCACACGTCTGTCAAAACTGTCAACGCGCTAACGGGCTGGATGAATGAAAAATCAAAACATTGAGCGATGAACGAGGCGATGAACACTTTTAAAAATTAATCGGGATTCTAGGATTTTACATAGCGGGACAGCTTAAAAACTCGCAGATTATAAGAAGAAAAAGAATTTTGAAGTGCAGCCGTCGAAATTACTGTGAATTTGGATTTTTGGTACAGTTACAAAAGTAAGAACAATGGAGGAAAACTACCAGTGGCCTTTCAGAAACTCATGCAAAGTTTATATGAAGTTGTTTAAGGCCGTCAGCTGGTTTTGCTGAACGAGAGAAGAAGCTATACTGACGCCTGGATTGCTGTAGTGAGTGGCTGCATAACCCGTATTTGTGGCTAGTTACTTGTGATTTATATTCCTTATATCGAATGAACAGGCTGCAGTTATCTATCGGCGAGTGGCTTCGCGATCATGAAGAAACAATACTTGTCTTCTTTCGTAGCTGGTCGAGGTATTTTAGTTTCATGTATTTTCATGTGTTTTTCGATAAACTTTCAAACAAACTCTTGTGGCTTTTTTGTTTGTTTGTTTCTTTTTTCCCGATGAAATTGCATTTCCTAGTATTCTAAGAATTAAAACGATTTTCTTCGGGCACCATTCTATCCTTTGCGAAATAAATCTCAGCAAGCTTCCAATTTTGAACTGACGCGTACACTGAGCGTACATGGAGAGCATGGTATAATGGCTCATATACCATGATGGCTAACCCAATCAAAACGCTATAATTGCATTATCCAATGATTCAGTTTTTAATAACAATTATTATTATCTGGACAGAGTACTACTTTCCTGTAGAGATGTCTGCATACCGGACCGGAGCGCGGTCAGCGATTTTAGCAACGTGACATTCGGAGCTGTTTCCCCTTGTCCGTAGCATTAAATGACTATGACCATTTCTACGTACTCCACCTTAATAGAACATCGCCGAGAATGGCTATTGTTCTCGGACATTGTACGTACAGTCGAGCTAGAAGCATAGGTCTGTAATATTACAGGTGAAGCGTGAACTGAATCGCTCTCATTGATCGAGGTCTGTGCGGTCTTCCCTTTGTAGCGATTACCGCCTCGCAAAGAAACAAAGGCCATGCGAGCTTTTGTTTCCAAATATCTCACCTTTAACAGCGCGTGCCTGTAAGCGTGACCACACCAACATATAAGTCTTTAAAGGCCAGTAAATATTTTTTCCCATTAACTACAACAAGAAGCATGTCGTTTAAACCGGACCAAATCTTACGATGCTTTTACAACTGGGGTCGAGCAGCAATCTCAAGTAAACTGCTTTGAGTTTAGTCAAAAAAAAAATTGACGCGCGCGAGCTGTAAAGAGCATGCTTGTGTCGTCACTGTTACGTGGTTAACGGAAAACAGTTTTGAGCTAATATGTTATTAGTGACTAAAGTCATTTTTCACTGAAACCAAAATGAGACAGTTATGTTTGCTATGCAACCAAGGCACTAAACAATGTATTTGTAGAAGGGATTTTAGGCGTTTTCTTTCCAAATCTTATTATACTCCTTGTCAACGCTCGCTCAACTCGCTCATGTGAAGACTCTCCTAGATTGTTTCCAAAATGCCCAATGCTTTTTGGACCAGTGTCAAAAGGCCGTTTGCTCTAGTAAAACTTCTCCCCATTTTTATAGTTTCTCTCAATTCACTTGCTAAAGTAAACTTGTACTCGTCCTATTCATTTCCTAGTGAAGCGCATACGCTTGATTCATGGGTTAATAACTTTAGTCGAGTGGTTTGTAGATATTTTAAAGTTCGCGGCACCAGTGCTGGCTAATGGCTTACCTCACAACCGAGTGGTTTTCAATAGCGTATTGTTATTTTTTGACAGCCATTGTTATTCCTACTTGACTTAAAACAATAGCTCGCTGGCCGTAAGTAGGCTACGTTTCTACCAGACTTTTTCAAACTCGCAGGGATAGTGGTTCTTGTCTATAAATTCTAAAAGTTGAAACGTATTCGGCTTAAGGATTGATCAATCTAACATATTCCATCGGTGGATTTGACGATTGCGTCACTGGTTTCCAGAAAATCACTCTCAAAGTCAGCTTCCATACAAAAAATGGCCTCTTTTTAGCCATTTTCAAATGCAGAGGGGATAGTCCTTCTGCTGCGAAAAATGCTTACCTTTGGTGCTTAAATCGTAGATGTATCGTTCATTTTCAATATTCCGTCAGTGGATTTTTCATTTTTGAGCTAACGAAGTCGCGCGAACGAGTTTTATCAACGCTGATGGGCCAAAAGAGACCCTTTTTTCTCTTATTCAGAGCTTATTGGCCGAATCTATACTAGAGACGAATTATCCGTCTGGACGGATTATCCGTCTCAGACGGATAACCCGTCTATAGTATAAATTCGGTGCTAAGACGAATTATGGAGCAAAATTCGTCTGAGGCTGATTCGTCTGTTAGCACTTCTTCAAGACGTGCTAACAGACGGATAATTCGTCTTAGACGGATTATCCGTCTCCAAATTTATATCTAGAGGAATGTACACGGTTTTTTTTGAAGTTAGTAGTATAGGGCGCACCGGTTAGGCCTCTTATTTGGCGGGGAATCTCATTAAGGTGGGGAATAAATTAACGTCGCTGACGTCATAGGCTATTGTCTTGATCTCATGAATAAAATGCGCAGGAATCTCATTAACTTGCGGTGGAATCTCATTAAGTATATCTAGTTTGACGGCTTTATCAATGATGTCATGTTCTACTTTTTATCTTGTGGCGGTCATGGTTGGTATAACCGGTTTGACAGGTTAGTTATTTTCGGAGATGATGTCATATGTATTCCGGGGTACTATGATGTCATAGTTGTTTTGATTGGTTGACCGGAATTAGAAAGACGCTCATTGGCTGTCTCGTTTGACGAAGCATTCTGGCTGGTTGCCGTATTTTTTATTGTTTGAACGGCATAAAAGCCTGCTCACTACCTTCCCGCATACTAATTTGGATTTCCCGCATACTAATTAAGTGTCTTCCTCCATATATAATGAAGTGGATAGGAAGTTACGGATGTTTGTACATAGGAAATTAGTTTGTAAATAAATCATTGGTCGAATTTCATCGTGGCTTGTTTCCTGACTTGACGCACACGACTTACACGCGAGATCTCCACGCGCGCCCAGGGGAAAAACACAGGGCTAAAAAGGTGCCCTTTCTGCCCTTTCTGCCCGATCTGCCCTTGAAATAAAAGCGCGCTTTCCCTTCAGTATTTCATTCTTGCAATCGCTTTGCTAAGGAAAAAGTCTTACTATCACCAATATTTTTTACAACATTGCTCCAAACATGCAACAGCCTGCTCTTTTTGATATATATCAATGACATGCCCAATTGTTTAGAAAAGGCAAATATTAGAACATTTGTTGATGACACCACTCTCTTCTACTCTTCCAATTCTCTACAGGACCTTGAAAAAACTATAAATGAGGAATTCAACCATCTGCTTAGCTACTGCTTTCTATAAACTTTAAGAAAACCCACTATATGACAATCTCCTCCCCAAAGAAGCAAATAAACTTAAGCTTAACTTACACAATATTGAAGAAAAGAACTACATCAAATACCTAGGTATCTGCATTGACAAAAATCTAAACTGGGCTCCCCACATTCAGCACATTAACAGCAAAATATCTAAAAACTTGGGAATCCTTTTCAGATTACGCCATTTCTTAACTTTAAACACCCTCAAACAAATATATTACTTACTTATCTAGCCCTACCTTCATTATGGAATTATGAGATGGGGAAACACATACCCAAGTAGATTAACTAAGTTCAAACAAAACGAAATAAATGTATACGCTGCTTATTTTTTAGCCATAAGAGAGAAAGTAGTGCACCCTACCTCAAACTTCTAGATATACTTAACATAGATAGCATTTTTAAACTCAAAATCTCCTTGCTAGCTCACAAAATCTCACAAAATGAAGCCAATATCCCTGAAGTGTTTCAAAACTACCTCGTAAAGGTGTCTGATATTCACTCACACAATACCAGATATGCCTCAAATCTTAACTTTCATGTACCACGTGTAAGGTCAAATTACGGCAAACACACATTTAAGTTTGCCATAACCAAAACTTGGGAAGAGATTCCTACTAAGATAAAAACACTTAGCTACCATAAGTTCAAAAAAGAATATAAGCGAATTCTAGTTAACTCTCAACGGTAACAATTGTAATTTGAATGTCTCACATAACCTGACTGCTGGCATAATCGTCCATAGTTGCCATGGCACCAAGCGCACGTTTATTATGTATTTCCAATCATAATATAGCGGTGGTTAGCTCGAAAGCTAAGCTCCTCTGACCACCGTACACTTCTACCCAAGCCATTAATTTTCTTTTTTTTCTTCTTCTTCTCCTTTATTAGTGTATTCCTACCTTACTATATATAATGTAAATATTTTATAAAGTGTGAATAATAAAATTGAACTGAATTGAACTGAATTGTGGCCTGCCAGCCTACCAGCTTAATAAGCTACAGAGGGGCCAAAATGCTGCCGCTAGGTTAATTTTCCAGAATTTTCCAGGAATCTAAATACTGCCACGTAAGACCGATGCTGTATAATCCGCACTGGTTGCCGGTTAAATTCAAATTTGACCTTAAGATACTACTGTTAACGGAAAAGGCTATCACTGGCTTAGCACCTTTTTATCTCCAGGAACGTAATAATCTTAAAGAAGCATACAATTTACTCTCCGATTGTGATGGACTGCTACTGGCCCTGTGAAATCAAGACTTTAACAACGTTAGGAGATCGATCTTTTGCTGCTGCTGCTCCTCAACTATGGAATTCATGACCCTATGCGATTAGGAGTAGCCCCTTAGTAGCATCTTTTCAAAAGACACTCAAGACATTTTTATTTCAGAAAGCTTTTTTGTAATTTTATGTGCTTTTTAATCTCTTTTTTAGTAGGTTTTACGCAGTTTTTTTACCATTTAAGTAGACTAAGTAATTTTTATAGTTTTAGTGTTGACTTAATTGTTTTAACTCTTTTTGGTAGGTTCATTCACTTTGTATATTTTATGCAGTCCTAGTAATTTTTTTTTTTTAATATTTTTATTTTTAAGCGCTGATGAAAATAGCAAAATATATCGGCGCTGTATAAGTTTTACTACTACTATTATTATTATTATTATTATTATTATTATTATTATTATTATTATTATTATTATTTCCATTCCTTGTAGACTCAGGCATGATGTTCGGCCTGGTTTATAGTCCTTGGAAGCAGGTTACAACAATTCACCACGGGTCCCAGGTCTCTCTTTTCCTTCTTCTTACAGGGACAGTACTTTCCTTAGTATCTTTGCTTTCCCCAACAATGCTGTTTTCTGGATAACTTCCAACCTCAAGTTCACGCCGATTCTCTTCATGTACTCCTTAAAGTTGAAGTGAATCGGCGTGAACGTTATCCAGCAAACAGCATTGTTGGGGACAGCAAATATACTAAGGAAAGTACTGTCCCTATTATTATCATTATCATTATCATTATCATTATCATTATCATTATCATTATCATTATCATTATCATTATCATTATCATTATCATTATCATTATTATCTCAAGTGGAAAGTTTATATAATATACAACTATCCCCTGAAGGGGAGGTGATCAGAATAGTCAGGTGGGATATACCTAGACGCGAAGTGTCGAGGTATATATCTAGCGCTATGAACCGACCCTGAGTGGGATAGATGTTTTAGTATTTACCAAATCAGTTGGATAAAAATCACTTAGTTCGAGTTTGTTGACGTTTCAATTTACAATGTTTCGGGGATCATTTGTTATGATCTTGTTCCAAATTCAGTAAGAAAATTCTTTTCTAGCGACCAGTAAACATCGAAAAGCCAAATTTTTTCTCGTTCTTGGTATTTGTTGGTGCAGCTGCTTCATTTACCGCTAAAATTTCATCTTTCGAGACTGTCGCGAAACGAGAAGCAGAATGCCGTCATGAACAAATGAAACAGTGAATATCCAAGGATATTACTAGTTACGGGAGCCAATCAGAACGCGCGAAAATTACTATCCACTCATTTGGTGAATTATGAAACTATTAAGAAAGCAAATAAGCGTTTGTATTTTTTTTGGTTCAGCTTGAGCTGTAAAGATATTGTTGACGTCCACTGTACAGTAAAGAGACCCGTTCTACAATATTGCTCGCCCATTTTCCACCATAACCTACCCTACTGTCTAACTGAGCGTGTACAAAAAAGAGCGCTCTCCATAATAGCGCCTGATAAATCATACAAACACTGTTTAGTCAGTTTTGGTCTCAGCACTTTATATGATAGGCGTAACGATCACTGTATTAAGCTGTTTAATAGTATATCATCGGATCAGCACAAATTCGCTTGCCTGCTTTCTCCGAACCACCAAAGCCACTACAATACCAGTTATGAGAGTGTTTACGACTTGCCCCACTTTCGCACAAATCACAGCAAAAATTCGTTCAAACCAGCCATGTGCGGCAGTCCAAACATGTTATTATAATGTAAGATTAAGTGTTATTACGTTATTTTTCCTTTCTTTTTCAGTTCTTCATTATCATTATTCCTAATTAACAAAATCGAAATTAGTCTTTTACCATTATTTTATACTTTTTTTATTGTATTGTAAATAATTAAACAATTCAGCCTTCAGCCGGCTGCGATTTGATTATTTGATTATCTATGATCTATCTTTACTGGGAGAAGTAACGCTTTCAGTGGATAGATCAGACGTACTAAACTTCGATCAAGCTGGATTGAGTCACCGCAAGATTGAAGATAACATCTTCTTCGCTCTACGTAATTCTTCACATGCAGCCTACTCAGCCTCATTCAGTAATTGCTAATTATGACAACGATCACTTTGTCGATCATAGGCTAGACTTCAAACTCTTATTTGTACATTTGAAAATGTCTCTTTTGAATTCTACTCAGGGACTCAAACGCGTGAACTCGAGACAAAATAATACTGAATTAATAGCCTTAACATTAAGACGATACAGGTCTTTACTGAAATATAATCACCTGTGCAGTTAACTCCGTTCCCAGAATACCCTGGTTTGCAAGTGCACTCGAAAGATCCTTCAGTGTTATTGCAGGTAGCATTGGCATCACAGTTGTGCTCTCCTGTTATACACTCGTTTACGTCTGCAAATCAGATGCAGGACTAAATCATCAAAACTGATTTAGTTAACCTTTTATTTTCTAGGATTGATTACGATCAGAAGAGAGAGGGAGAGAGAGATTTCAGGCTATACTGGAAAGCAAAAACATTAAAGTTTTGCTATATATTGAGCAGGTGAAAAATTCACAAAAAATTAATGACATCACGTGTATAGATAGAGGATTAGCGAGACCTAAGGAAGCAAGATATTAGACAATGCAATCTTGAAGGGGCACAATATAATAATACATTAAAAAACTTAAATATTTCAAGCATGTATAGGGGTAAAATTGCATATAAAGATACTGCAAATCACAAACTTCTATAATGCAAGGGCATTTCCATACTTATTCAGCTTAAACTGAAGAACAAACTGTAGCTCTAGGGACTAAGCTGCATACTACTTTGTGGCTGAACTTGGCTCTAATGCGAGATAAATGGAGTTGATTAGAAAAAGATTCATTATAAAGAAGACCGAGGTATTGTTTTCACCTGTGCAGTTAACTCCATCCCCAGAATACCCTGGCTTGCAGGTGCACACAAAGGATCCTTTAGTGTTTTTGCAAATAGCGTTTGCATGACAGTTGTGCTTTCCTGCTTCACACTCATTTTCATCTGCAATTCAAAAGTCAGGCACTGAATCAAAAAACTGATTTAGTTTTCTTGTCTTTTATTCCAAGTAACTTTGGCCTACCATAATAACAGTTATCTGCCTTATTATAGGAAATTAACGCTTTATGAAATTACGTTGTTGGAAATTGACGCGACTTAAAAGGTTCGTGTAGATCATTTTCGCCAAGATAGCTATTCAATTGCACAAACACTGTTTTCTCTATCAATTTAGATAGGAACTTTCAATTTGATACAGGGCGAAAATTACTAAGCTGCTCAAAGTCTGCATTTAATTTCTTAAGAATAGGTGATAGCAGCGCTACCTTAAGTTCCTTGGGCAGCAATCCAGATGACAATGACAAATTAATCACCCTTCTAACTATAGGGACAAGACTAGAATAGCATTTCCGCATGATACTCGCTGGAAGTGGATCCAGTGCACATGCCATATTAAACTTTGTTGACTGCCCTCATTGGTTGAGGGTGTCAATACTGCGTTTGATATGCTCAGTATTATGATCTGAAAAACGAAGATACTTAAGTAAAAATGATCGATGAACGTGTAAAATTGTGCTCCTGCAACTAATTACTCAAATTTCAAGCATGTTCACCAGCTCACTTCTAACATTCCCCACCACAGTATTTTTCCAGTTTCATTGCGTGATACAGTGGAACCCCGCCTTAACGACACCCGCTTCAAATACGGACACTTCGTTATTACGGACAGTCTTCCTTGTCCCTGAGGAAAGGATGACCTGACATTTTCTCTAAATTCAACCCGACAGACACCCCGTTAATACGGACAAGCACGAGTGGAATAATTGTTTTATTATAAACGCCCACATAATCTCGATGAATCTCCCCGACTTTCTTTTGTTAGAATAACCGGAAAAGACAAGGGACTTCCACTTTACACATGTCACACGTCTGTCAAAACTGTCAACGCGCTAACGGGCTGGATGAATGAAAAATCAAAACATTGAGCGATGAACGAGGCGATGAACACTTTTAAAAATTAATCGGGATTCTAGGATTTTACATAGCGGGACAGCTTAAAAACTCGCAGATTATAAGAAGAAAAAGAATTTTGAAGTGCAGCCGTCGAAATTACTGTGAATTTGGATTTTTGGTACAGTTACAAAAGTAAGAACAATGGAGGAAAACTACCAGTCGCCTTTCAGAAACTCATGCAAAGTTTATATGAAGTTGTTTAAGGCCGTCAGCTGGTTTTGCTGAACGAGAGAAGAAGCTATACTGACGCCTGGATTGCTGTAGTGAGTGGCTGCATAACCCGTATTTGTGGCTAGTTACTTGTGATTTATATTCCTTATATCGGATGAACAGGCTGCAGTTATCTATCAGGGAGTGGCTTCGCTATCTTGCAGAAACTGCAATACTTATCTTGTCTTTTTTCGTAGCTGGTCGAGGTATTTTAGTCTCATGTATTTCCATGTGTTTTTCGATAAACTTTCAAACAAACTCTTGTGGCTTTTTTGTTTGTCTTTTTTTCCCCCGATGAAATTGCATTTTCTAGTATTCTAAGAATTAAAACGATTTTCTTCGGGCGCTATTCTATCCTTCACGAAAAAAATATCTCAGCAGGCTTCCAATTTTGAACTGACGCGTACACTGAGCGTACATGGAGAGCATGGTATAATGGCTCATATACCATGATGGCTAACCCAATCAAAACGCTATAATTGCATTATCCAATGATTCAGTTTTTAATAACAATTATTATTATCTGGACAGAGTACTACTTTCCTGTAGAGATGTCTGCATACCGGACCGGAGCGCGGTCAGCGATTTTAGCAACGTGACATTCGGAGCTGTTTCCCCTTGTCCGTAGCATTAAATGACTATGACCATTTCTACGTACTCCACCTTAATAGAACATCGCCGAGAATGGCTATTGTTCTCGGGACATTGTACGTACAGTCGAGCTAGAAGCATAGGTCTGTAATATTACAGGTGAAGCGTGAACTGAATCGCTCTCATTGATCGAGGTCTGTGCGGTCTTCCCTTTGTAGCGATTACCGCCTCGCAAAGAAACAAAGGCCATGCGAGCTTTTGTTTCCAAATATCTCACCTTTAACAGCGCGTGCCTGTAAGCGTGACCACACCAACATATAAGTCTTTAAAGGCCAGTAAATATTTTTTCCCATTAACTACAACAAGAAGCATGTCGTTTAAACCGGACCAAATCTTACGATGCTTTTACAACTGGGGTCGAGCAGCAATCTCAAGTAAACTGCTTTGAGTTTAGTCAAAAAAAAATTGACGCGCGCGAGCTGTAAAGAGCATGCTTGTGTCGTCACTGTTACGTGGTTAACGGAAAACAGTTTTGAGCTAATATGTTATTAGTGACTAAAGTCATTTTTCACTGAAACCAAAATGAGACAGTTATGTTTGCTATGCAACCAAGGCACTAAACAATGTATTTGTAGAAGGGATTTTAGGCGTTTTCTTTCCAAATCTTATTATACTCCTTGTCAACGCTCGCTCAACTCGCTCATGTGAAGACTCTCCTAGATTGTTTCCAAAATGCCCAATGCTTTTTTTTTTTTTTGACCAGTGTCAAAGGCCGTTTGCTCTAGTAAAACTTCTCCCCATTTTTATAGTTTCTCTCAATTCACTTGCTAAAGTAAACTTGTACTCGTCCTATTCATTTCCTAGTGAAGCGCATACGCTTGATTCATGGGTTAATAACTTTAGTCGAGTGGTTTGTAGATATTTTAAAGTTCGCGGCACCAGTGCTGGCTAATGGCTTACCTCACAACCGAGTGGTTTTCAATAGCGTATTGTTATTTTTGACAGCCATTGTTATTCCTACTTGACTTAAAACAATAGCTCGCTGGCCGTAAGTAGGCTACGTTTCTACCAGACTTTTTCAAACTCGCAGGGATAGTGGTTCTTGTCTATAAATTCTAAAAGTTGAAACGTATTCGGCTTAAGGATTGATCAATCTAACATATTCCATCGGTGGATTTGACGATTGCGTCACTGGTTTCCAGAAAATCACTCTCAAAGTCAGCTTCCATACAAAAATGGCCTCTTTTTAGCCATTTTCAAATGCAGAGGATAGTCCTTCTGCTGCGAAAAATGCTTACCTTTGGTGCTTAAATCGTAGATGTATCGTTCATTTTCAATATTCCGTCAGTGGATTTTTCATTTTTGAGCTAACGAAGTCGCGCGAACGAGTTTTATCAACGCTGATGGGCCAAAAGAGACCCTTTTTTCTCTTATTCAGAGCTTATTGGCCGAATCTATACTAGAGACGAATTATCCGTCTGGACGGATTATCCGTCTCAGACGGATAACCCGTCTATAGTATAAATTCGGTGCTAAGACGAATTATGGAGCAAAATTCGTCTGAGGCTGATTCGTCTGTTAGCACTTCTTCAAGACGTGCTAACAGACGGATAATTCGTCTTAGACGGATTATCCGTCTCCAAATTTATATCTAGAGGGAATGTACACGGTTTTTTTTTTATGAAGTTAGTAGTATAGGGCGCACCGGTTAGGCCTCTTATTTGGCGGGGGAATCTCATTAAGGTGGGGGGAATAAATTAACGTCGCTGACGTCATAGGCTATTGTCTTGATCTCATGAATAAAATGCGCAGGAATCTCATTAACTTGCGGTGGAATCTCATTAAGTATATCTAGTTTGACGGCTTTATCAATGATGTCATGTTCTACTTTTATCTTGTGGCGGTCATGGTTGGTATAACCGGTTTGACAGGTTAGTTATTTTCGGGAGATGATGTCATATGTATTCCGGGGTACTATGATGTCATAGTTGTTTTGATTGGTTGACCGGAATTAGAAAGACGCTCATTGGCTGTCTCGTTTGACGAAGCATTCTGGCTGGTTGCCGTATTTTTTATTGTTTGAACGGCATAAAAGCCTGCTCACTACCTTCCCGCATACTAATTTGGATTTCCCGCATACTAATTAAGTGTCTTCCTCCATATATAATGAAGTGGATAGGAAGTTACGGATGTTTGTACATAGGAAATTAGTTTGTAAATAAATCATTGGTCGAATTTCATCGTGGCTTGTTTCCTGACTTGACGCACACGACTTACACGCGAGATCTCCACGCGCGCCCAGGGGAAAAACACAGGGCTAAAAAGGTGCCCTTTCTGCCCTTTCTGCCCGATCTGCCCTTGAAATAAAAGCGCGCTTTCCCTTCAGTATTTCATTCTTGCAATCGCTTTGCTAAGGAAAAAGTCTTACTATCACCAATATTTTTTACAACATTGCTCCAAACATGCAACAGCCTGCTCTTTTTGATATATATCAATGACATGCCCAATTGTTTAGAAAAGGCAAATATTAGAACATTTGTTGATGACACCACTCTCTTCTACTCTTCCAATTCTCTACAGGACCTTGAAAAAACTATAAATGAGGAATTCAACCATCTGCTTAGCTACTGCTTTCTATAAACTTTAAGAAAACCCACTATATGACAATCTCCTCCCCCCAAGAAGCAAATAAACTTAAGCTTAACTTACACAATATTGAAGAAAAGAACTACATCAAATACCTAGGTATCTGCATTGACAAAAATCTAAACTGGGCTCCCCACATTCAGCACATTAACAGCAAAATATCTAAAAACTTGGGAATCCTTTTCAGATTACGCCATTTCTTAACTTTAAACACCCTCAAACAAATATATTACTTACTTATCTAGCCCTACCTTCATTATGGAATTATGAGATGGGGAAACACATACCCAAGTAGATTAACTAAAGCTCAAACAAAACAAAATAATTGTATATTGCATATTTTTTAACCATAACAGGGAAAGTAGTCAGTGCACCCTACCTCAAACTTTTAGATATACTTAACATAGATAACATTTTTAAACTCAAAATCTCCTTGCTAGCTCAGAAAATCTCAAAAAAGGGAAGCCAATATCGATCCCTGAAGTGTTTCAATACCACCTCGTAAAGGTGTCTTATATTCACTCACACAATACCAGATATGCCTCAAATCTTAACTTTCATGTACCACGTGTAAGGTCAAATTACGGCAAACACACATTTAAGTTTGCCATAACCAAAACTTGGGAAGAGATTCCTACTAAGATAAAAACACTTAGCTACCATAAGTTCAAAAAAGAATATAAGCGAATTCTAGTTAACTCTCAACGGTAACAATTGTAATTTGAATGTCTCACATAACCTGACTGCTGGCATAATCGTCCATAGTTGCCATGGCACCAAGCGCACGTTTATTATGTATTTCAATCATAATATAGCGGTGGTTAGCTCAAAGCTAAGCTCCTCTGACCACCGTACACTTCTACCCAAGCCATTAATTTTCTTTTTTTTTCTCTCCTTCTCCTTTATTAGTGTATTCCTACCTTACTATATATAATCTAAATATTTTATAAAGTGTGAATAATAAAATTGAATTAAATTGAATTGAATTGTGGCCTGCCAGCCTACCAGCTTAATAAGCTACAGAGGGGCCAAAATGCTGCCGCTAGGTTAATTTTCCAGAATTTTCCAGGAATCTGAATACTGCCACGTAAGACCGATGCTGTATAATCCGCACTGGTTGCCGGTTAAGTTCAAATTTGACCTTAAGATACTACTGTTAACGGAAAAGGCTATCACTGGCTTAGCACCTTTTTATCTCCAGGAACGTAATAATCTTAAAGAAGCATACAATTTACTCTCCGATTGTGATGGACTGCTACTAAACCCTGTGAAATCAAGACTTTAACAACGTTAGGAGATCGATCTTTTGCTGCTGCTGCTCCCCAACTATGTAATTCATGGCCCTATGCGATTAGGAGTAGCCCCTCAGTAGCATCTTTTCAAAAGACACTCAAGACATTTTTATTTCAGAAAGCTTTTTTGTAATTTTATGTGCTTTTTAATCTCTTTTTTAGTAGGTTTTATGCAGTTTTTTACCATTTAAGTAGACTAAGTAATTTTTATAGTTTTAGTGTTGACATAATTGTTTTAACTCTTTTTGGTAGGTTCATTCACTTTGTATATTTTATGCAGTCCTAGTAATTTTTTTTTTAATATTTTTATTTTAAAGCGCTGATGAAAATAGCAATATATATCGGCGCTGTATAAGTTTTACTATTATTATTATTATTATTATTATTATTATTATTATTATTATTATTTCCATTCCTTGTAGACTCAGGCAGGATGTTCGGCCTGGTTTATAGTCCTTGGAAGCAGGTTACAACAATTCACCACGGGTCCCAGGTCTCTCTTTTCCTTCTTCTTACAGGGACAGTACTTTCCTTAGTATCTTTGCTTTCCCCAACAATGCTGTTTTCTGGATAACTTCCAACCTCACGTTCACGCCGATTCTCTTCATGTACTTCTTAAAGTTGAAGTGAATCGGCGTGAACGTTATCCAGCAAACAGCATTGTTGGGGACAGCAAATATACTAAGGAAAGTACTGTCCCTATTATTATCATTATCATTATCATTATCATTATCATTATCATTATCATTATCATTATCATTATCATTATCATTATCATTATCATTATCATTATCATTATCATTATCATTATTATCTCAAGTGGAAAGTTTATATAATATACAACTATCCCCTGAAGGGGAGGTGATCAGAATAGTCAGGTGGGATATACCTAGACGCGAAGTGTCGAGGTATATATCTAGCGCTATGAACCGACCCTGAGTGGGATAGATGTTTTAGTATTTACCAAATCAGTTGGATAAAAATCACTTAGTTCGAGTTTGTTGACGTTTCAATTTACAATGTTTCGGGGATCATTTGTTATGATCTTGTTCCAAATTCAGTAAGAAAATTCTTTTCTAGCGACCAGTAAACATCGAAAAGCCAAATTTTTTCTCGTTCTTGGTATTTGTTGGTGCAGCTGCTTCATTTACCGCTAAAATTTCATCTTTCGAGACTGTCGCGAAACGAGAAGCAGAATGCCGTCATGAACAAATGAAACAGTGAATATCCAAGGATATTACTAGTTACGGGAGCCAATCAGAACGCGCGAAAATTACTATCCACTCATTTGGTGAATTATGAAACTATTAAGAAAGCAAATAAGCGTTTGTATTTTTTTTTTTTTTGGTTCAGCTTGAGCTGTAAAGATATTGTTGACGTCCACTGTACAGTAAAGAGACCCGTTCTACAATATTGCTCGCCCATTTTCCACCATAACCTACCCTACTGTCTAACTGAGCGTGTACAAAAAAGAGCGCTCTCCATAATAGCGCCTGATAAATCATACAAACACTGTTTAGTCAGTTTTGGTCTCAGCACTTTATATGATAGGCGTAACGATCACTGTATTAAGCTGTTTAATAGTATATCATCGGATCAGCACAAATTCGCTTGCCTGCTTTCTCCGAACCACCAAAGCCACTACAATACCAGTTATGAGAGTGTTTACGACTTGCCCCACTTTCGCACAAATCACAGCAAAAATTCGTTCAAACCAGCCATGTGCGGCAGTCCAAACATGTTATTATAATGTAAGATTAAGTGTTATTACGTTATTTTTCCTTTCTTTTTCAGTTCTTCATTATCATTATTCCTAATTAACAAAATCGAAATTAGTCTTTTACCATTATTTTATACTTTTTTATTGTATTGTAAATAATTAAACAATTCAGCCTTCAGCCGGCTGCAATTTGATTATTTTCTTATCTATGATCTATCTTTACTGGGAGAAGTAACGCTTCAGTGGATTGATCAGATGTACTAAACTTCGATCAAGCTGGATTAAGTCACCGCAAGATTGAGGATAACATCCTCTTCGCTCTACATAATTCTTCACATGCAGCCTACTCAGCCTCATTTAGTAATCGCTAAATAATTATGACAACGATCACTTTGTAGATCAAAGGCTTGACTTCAAACTCTTATTTGTACATTTGGAAATGTCTCTTTTGAATTCTACTCAGGGACTCAAACGCGTGAACTCGAGACAAAATAATGCTGAATTAATAGCCTTAACATTAAGACGATACAGGTCTGTACTGAAATATAATCACCTGTGCAGTTAACTCCGTTCCCATAATACCCTGGCTTGCAAGTGCACTCGTAAGATCCTTCACTGTTATTGCAGGCTGCATTGGCATCACAGTTGTGCTCGCCTGTTATACACTCGTTTACGTCTGCAAATCAGATGCAGGACTAAATCATCAAAACTGATTTACTTAACCTTTTATTTTCTAGGATTGGTTACGATAAGAAGAGAGAGGGAGAGAGAGATTTCTGGCTATACTGAAAAGCAAAAACATTTTTGCTATATATTGAGCAGGTGAAAAATTCACAAAAAAATTAATGACATCACGTGTATAGATAGAGGATTAGCGAGACCTAAGGAAGCAAGATATTAGAGAATGCAATATTGTAGGGGCACAATATAATAACACATTAAAAAAACTTAAATATTTCAAGCATGTATAGGGGTAAAATTGCATACAGATACTGTAAATCACAAACTTTTATAATGCAAGGGCATTTCCATACTTATTCATCTTAAACTGAAGAACAAACTGTAGCTCTAGGGACTAAGCTGTATACTACCTTGTGGCTGACCTTGGCTCTAATGCGAGATAAATGGAGTTGATTAGAAAAATATTCATTATAAAGAAGATCGAGGTATTGTTTTCACCTGTGCATTTAACTCCATTCCCAGAATACCCTGGCTTGCAGGTGCACACAAAGGATCCTTTAGTGTTTTTGCAATTAGCGTTTGCATGACAGTTGTGCTTTCCTGTTTCACACTCATTTTCATCTGCAATTCAAAAGTCAGGCACTGAATCAAAAAACTGATTTAGTTTTCTTTTCTTTTATTTCAAGTAACTTTGGCCTATCATAATAACAGTTATCTGCCTTATTATAGGAAATTAACGCTTTATGAAATTACGTTGTTGGAAATTGACGCGACTTAAAAGGTTCGTGTAGATCATTTTCGCCAAGATAGCTATTCAATTGCACAAACACTGTTTTCTCTATCAATTTAGATAGGAACTTTCAATTTGATACAGGGCGAAAATTACTAAGCTGCTCAAAGTCTGCATTTAATTTCTTAAGAATAGGTGATAGCAGCGCTACCTTAAGTTCCTTGGGCAGCAATCCAGATGACAATGACAAATTAATCACCCTTCTAACTATAGGGACAAGACTAGAATAGCATTTCCGCATGATACTCGCTGGAAGTGGATCCAGTGCACATGCCATATTAAACTTTGTTGACTGCCCTCATTGGTTGAGGGTGTCAATACTGCGTTTGATATGCTCAGTATTATGATCTGAAAAACGAAGATACTTAAGTAAAATGATCGATGAACGTGTAAAATTGTGCTCCTGCAACTAATTACTCAAATTTCAAGCATGTTCACCAGCTCACTTCTAACATTCCCCACCACAGTATTTTTCCAGTTTCATTGCGTGATACAGTGGAACCCCGCCTTAACGACACCCGCTTCAAATACGGACACTTCGTTATTACGGACAGTCTTCCTTGTCCCTGAGGAAAGGATGACCTGACATTTTCTCTAAATTCAACCCGACAGACACCCCGTTAATACGGACAAGCACGAGTGGAATAATTGTTTTATTATAAACGCCCACATAATCTCGATGAATCTCCCCGACTTTCTTTTGTTAGAATAACCGGAAAAGACAAGGGACTTCCACTTTACACATGTCACACGTCTGTCAAAACTGTCAACGCGCTAACGGGCTGGATGAATGAAAAATCAAAACATTGAGCGATGAACGAGGCGATGAACACTTTTAAAAATTAATCGGGATTCTAGGATTTTACATAGCGGGACAGCTTAAAAACTCGCAGATTATAAGAAGAAAAAGAATTTTGAAGTGCAGCCGTCGAAATTACTGTGAATTTGGATTTTTGGTACAGTTACAAAAGTAAGAACAATGGAGGAAAACTACCAGTCGCCTTTCAGAAACTCATGCAAAGTTTATATGAAGTTGTTTAAGGCCGTCAGCTGGTTTTGCTGAACGAGAGAAGAAGCTATACTGACGCCTGGATTGCTGTAGTGAGTGGCTGCATAACCCGTATTTGTGGCTAGTTACTTGTGATTTATATTCCTTATATCGGATGAACAGGCTGCAGTTATCTATCAGGAGTGGCTTCGCTATCTTGCAGAAACTGCAATACTTATCTTGTCTTTTTTCGTAGCTGGTCGAGGTATTTTAGTCTCATGTATTTCCATGTGTTTTTCGATAAACTTTCAAACAAACTCTTGTGGCTTTTTGTTTGTCTTTTTTTTTCCCCGATGAAATTGCATTTTCTAGTATTCTAAGAATTAAAACGATTTTCTTCGGGCGCTATTCTATCCTTCACGAAAAAATATCTCAGCAGGCTTCCAATTTTGAACTGACGCGTACACTGAGCGTACATGGAGAGCATGGTATAATGGCTCATATACCATGATGGCTAACCCAATCAAAACGCTATAATTGCATTATCCAATGATTCAGTTTTTAATAACAATTATTATTATCTGGACAGAGTACTACTTTCCTGTAGAGATGTCTGCATACCGGACCGGAGCGCGGTCAGCGATTTTAGCAACGTGACATTCGGAGCTGTTTCCCCTTGTCCGTAGCATTAAATGACTATGACCATTTCTACGTACTCCACCTTAATAGAACATCGCCGAGAATGGCTATTGTTCTCGGGACATTGTACGTACAGTCGAGCTAGAAGCATAGGTCTGTAATATTACAGGTGAAGCGTGAACTGAATCGCTCTCATTGATCGAGGTCTGTGCGGTCTTCCCTTTGTAGCGATTACCGCCTCGCAAAGAAACAAAGGCCATGCGAGCTTTTGTTTCCAAATATCTCACCTTTAACAGCGCGTGCCTGTAAGCGTGACCACACCAACATATAAGTCTTTAAAGGCCAGTAAATATTTTTTCCCATTAACTACAACAAGAAGCATGTCGTTTAAACCGGACCAAATCTTACGATGCTTTTACAACTGGGGTCGAGCAGCAATCTCAAGTAAACTGCTTTGAGTTTAGTCGAAAAAAAATTGACGCGCGCGAGCTGTAAAGAGCATGCTTGTGTCGTCACTGTTACGTGGTTAACGGAAAACAGTTTTGAGCTAATATGTTATTAGTGACTAAAGTCATTTTTCACTGAAACCAAAATGAGACAGTTATGTTTGCTATGCAACCAAGGCACTAAACAATGTATTTGTAGAAGGGATTTTAGGCGTTTTCTTTCCAAATCTTATTATACTCCTTGTCAACGCTCGCTCAACTCGCTCATGTGAAGACTCTCCTAGATTGTTTCCAAAATGCCCAATGCTTTTTTGGACCAGTGTCAAAGGCCGTTTGCTCTAGTAAAACTTCTCCCCATTTTTATAGTTTCTCTCAATTCACTTGCTAAAGTAAACTTGTACTCGTCCTATTCATTTCCTAGTGAAGCGCATACGCTTGGATTCATGGGTTAATAACTTTAGTCGAGTGGTTTGTAGATATTTTAAAGTTCGCGGCACCAGTGCTGGCTAATGGCTTACCTCACAACCGAGTGGTTTTCAATAGCGTATTGTTATTTTTTGACAGCCATTGTTATTCCTACTTGACTTAAAACAATAGCTCGCTGGCCGTAAGTAGGCTACGTTTCTACCAGACTTTTTCAAACTCGCAGGGATAGTGGTTCTTGTCTATAAATTCTAAAAGTTGAAACGTATTCGGCTTAAGGATTGATCAATCTAACATATTCCATCGGTGGATTTGACGATTGCGTCACTGGTTTCCAGAAAATCACTCTCAAAGTCAGCTTCCATACAAAAAATGGCCTCTTTTTAGCCATTTTCAAATGCAGAGGGATAGTCCTTCTGCTGCGAAAAATGCTTACCTTTGGTGCTTAAATCGTAGATGTATCGTTCATTTTCAATATTCCGTCAGTGGATTTTTCATTTTTGAGCTAACGAAGTCGCGCGAACGAGTTTTATCAACGCTGATGGGCCAAAAGAGACCCTTTTTTCTCTTATTCAGAGCTTATTGGCCGAATCTATACTAGAGACGAATTATCCGTCTGGACGGATTATCCGTCTCAGACGGATAACCCGTCTATAGTATAAATTCGGTGCTAAGACGAATTATGGAGCAAAATTCGTCTGAGGCTGATTCGTCTGTTAGCACTTCTTCAAGACGTGCTAACAGACGGATAATTCGTCTTAGACGGATTATCCGTCTCCAAATTTATATCTAGAGGGAATGTACACGGTTTTTTTTTTATGAAGTTAGTAGTATAGGGCGCACCGGTTAGGCCTCTTATTTGGCGGGGGAATCTCATTAAGGTGGGGGGAATAAATTAACGTCGCTGACGTCATAGGCTATTGTCTTGATCTCATGAATAAAATGCGCAGGAATCTCATTAACTTGCGGTGGAATCTCATTAAGTATATCTAGTTTGACGGCTTTATCAATGATGTCATGTTCTACTTTTATCTTGTGGCGGTCATGGTTGGTATAACCGGTTTGACAGGTTAGTTATTTTCGGGAGATGATGTCATATGTATTCCGGGGTACTATGATGTCATAGTTGTTTTGATTGGTTGACCGGAATTAGAAAGACGCTCATTGGCTGTCTCGTTTGACGAAGCATTCTGGCTGGTTGCCGTATTTTTTATTGTTTGAACGGCATAAAAGCCTGCTCACTACCTTCCCGCATACTAATTTGGATTTCCCGCATACTAATTAAGTGTCTTCCTCCATATATAATGAAGTGGATAGGAAGTTACGGATGTTTGTACATAGGAAATTAGTTTGTAAATAAATCATTGGTCGAATTTCATCGTGGCTTGTTTCCTGACTTGACGCACACGACTTACACGCGAGATCTCCACGCGCGCCCAGGGAAAAACACAGGGCTAAAAGGTGCCCTTTCTGCCCTTTCTGCCCGATCTGCCCTTGAAATAAAAGCGCGCTTTCCCTTCAGTATTTCATTCTTGCAATCGCTTTGCTAAGGAAAAAGTCTTACTATCACCAATATTTTTTACAACATTGCTCCAAACATGCAACAGCCTGCTCTTTTTGATATATATCAATGACATGCCCAATTGTTTAGAAAAGGCAAATATTAGAACATTTGTTGATGACACCACTCTCTTCTACTCTTCCAATTCTCTACAGGACCTTGAAAAAACTATAAATGAGGAATTCAACCATCTGCTTAGCTACTGCTTTCTATAAACTTTAAGAAAACCCACTATATGACAATCTCCTCCCCCAAGAAGCAAATAAACTTAAGCTTAACTTACACAATATTGAAGAAAAGAACTACATCAAATACCTAGGTATCTGCATTGACAAAAATCTAAACTGGGCTCCCCACATTCAGCACATTAACAGCAAAATATCTAAAAACTTGGGAATCCTTTTCAGATTACGCCATTTCTTAACTTTAAACACCCTCAAACAAATATATTACTTACTTATCTAGCCCTACCTTCATTATGGAATTATGAGATGGGGAAACACATACCCAAGTAGATTAACTAAGTTCAAACAAAACGAAATAAATGTATACGCTGCTTATTTTTTAGCCATAAGAGAGAAAGTAGTGCACCCTACCTCAAACTTCTAGATATACTTAACATAGATAGCATTTTTAAACTCAAAATCTCCTTGCTAGCTCACAAAATCTCACAAAATGAAGCCAATATCCCTGAAGTGTTTCAAAACTACCTCGTAAAGGTGTCTGATATTCACTCACACAATACCAGATATGCCTCAAATCTTAACTTTCATGTACCACG